CAGTTATAATCAGTGGACTTCTGATCCTTCTTTTGTCCAAATTTGCATGCATAACACTGGTGCTCAAACATATGGGCACAGGTGCTTGTCCAGTCTTGGGCTTACCCTACCTATCCCTTTAAAAGTGAAACTTTTTTTTTTTTTAAAAAAAAAAGAAAAGAAAAACTATATAAACCCTTTATGATATACATGTACAAATACCGTAATTCAAAAAAATTGTGATAATAAATTGAAACAAAAAAAAAACAATTTTAAAGGGATGGGATGATGGCACAACTGAGCTAGCCTTTCCTTTTAAAAGGAAACTTTATATAATTATCTGCCCTTTTATTAAAATCTTGTCCAGGATATAACTCTAAATCTATAAGGGATACCAACATGAAACTTTGTAGGTAGATAGATCTCAATGGGTAGATGTGTAGTGCTCAAGAACTTCAATTCCGAGTGGTTAACGCGTCGGACTAGTAATCTAAGGATCGCTGACTGCGTGGGTTCAAACCCTGTCAGGGGCAAGCCGTTGTTTCCTTGAGCAAGAAACTTTACATTCATTGCTTAGTACTGGTTGGTTCCAGGAACGGATTCAAGAGTGTTTCAATAAGCTTATAGCTTCCAACACAATCGAACTAAACTGAATTTGTTTAAACGAACTCCGCCTTGCCAAATTTTGAAGTTATTGCCCTTTGTTTATTTTTACATTTTGAACTTTGTCTGGGACATAACTCAGAAACTGTAAGAGGTATCAACAAGAAACTTTGTAGATTGATAGATCGCATTGATTAGAAGTGCTGTGCTAAAAAACAATTACTGTGCCTTACCTAATTTTGGAATTATTGCACTTTGAACTTTTTCCAGGGACATAACTCTGAAACTACAAGATGGCCAAAACCTATTCCAGGAGCATCACCCGGTTCAAACCGGGCTCTTGTTTGTGTCTCCTGCTACATGCAATTGGCTATCATGAGGTGACACATGACTGTGATCACTGAGCACTCTGGTTACTACTTTCTTCAACTAGGTTTTCATACCCCAAAAGAATCTTTAGGATGTATTATTGCATGGCATTATCCGTTAATTTGTCAACATTACCAAATCAGAAAATAAGGCCACTTAACTGTAAACTATAAAAGAGTAAATTCCATTACAATAGAGGAAGGGACTAGTAACTGGCCCTCTTAAAGAAAATAAGCTATCAATGGAATTACCCCTTGTCAGAATTCAGCCGCATGTCCTTCTGTTGTCCATCCATAGACAATTGGCTCCAACAGGTTAAAATTTGAATGATTTTATTGATCTTCTCCTCTAGAACTAAAAGACACAGAGTAAGATATTTTGAACAAGGCATTGTCTTGTGGATTTCTCTACCAAGATTGTTCAAATTATAGCCCCGGGGTAAAAATTGGGCCCGTCCAAGGGATAATGTGTTTTCCTTATATGTATAAAGTAATACATTGTATTTAAAAATCTTTTTCTTCAAAACTACAAGGACTAGAGCTCAGATATTTATCATGAAACATAGTCTAGTGAACCTCTATTAACATAATTCAAATTAAAGCTTTGGGATCAAAATTGGTTCTGCCCCAGAAGGTCGTGGCTGTTCTTCTAATCATAGACCTTGGTATAAAATAGTCCAGCTCATGAGTTAAATAATGAGACATTAAATAATGCAAGGGAAACAAGTCTTATTGTCCCCTGCCCTTCCATCCATCTTTCCCTATAAACATAGAGGTACTTGTGTGACTAGGAGAACAATTGTTAAATGTACATTTTCTTTGACCCTATTAATTCTGTTTTTACTTGTGGGTCTTTTTTTAGTCACATAAGTATCATTTTGTAAATACATCTGTCCGTCAGTCTGTCCAACCGTACAAACATATATATACTTGGGGGCTTTGGGAACATTAGGTTACAGTAAATTTCCTTTGATGCTATTCATTCAGATAGCTCTTATATAGCTACTTTTTCACTTATTTGGCTAAATGAACAAAAGAGAACAAAAGAGTAGCCACTGAACAAAATGTCACTTTGAGTATGTCCTTCTGTGTGCTGTCTGCATTCAGCTTGTCCGGCTTGCACAGGTCAAACTGTTAGCGGGATTTCAATGAAACTTCATAGGTATGATCAGAACCATCCTTTGTTGTGCATATCACTGCAAGTTCTGCTTGATTGCACAAAATGGCCTCCAGAGCTATAAATAGAAAAATGGGTCAAGGACAGAAAAGGCAGGGCTGCATTTGTATACCAAATATCATCAGGCTTAGATGTTACAAAAAAATGTTTACCATTGGCCATTAATGTCAAAAATTTAACGAAGTTGGTAAACAGGAAGTGGATGAGCCACATACCTGAAATCGAAACCCACTGTATTACACCATGTGTTGATGCTGTATACCAAATAACAAGAGACTATGATAAGTAGTTGCGGAGAAAACTGTTACAAAAATATTTTTCCCACTCTCCTGCCCAAATGCCGGCCTGCAGCCCGACCTTCTCCATTTTATAACACGGGTTTGCACCTGTGCAACCCAGCCAAAAATCTCGTCCAGCTTTCATGAGGTCAAACTGCTCGTAGGATTTCAATGAAATAGGAGTGAGCATTACCATCCAATTAGTTGTGCATATAGCCCGTACATTCTGTTTGGCTGCACAAAATAGCCGCCAGAGCTAAAACAGGGCTTTCACAGGTCAAACTGCTGGTGGTATTTCAATAAAACTTGTGCATATGACACATCCTTGTTTCACAAAATGGCCATCAAAGCTCTAAATCTTGTTTTATTATGTTTCTTAAATGAATTATTGTTACATGTACTTGAATATGCAGATCTAGCATTGATCATAATTTTACACTGAAATCCAGATCCATACTATTGAAATAGCACTATTTTGTTCTTCATGATAACCTTCCCTAAAGTGCGAGATGTTGGTAACTCTGTTACAAGTTGTTGTTGGAATGTTTTATACATGTGAACAATTTGCTATGCAATTTTTATGAAGTGAAATTCAAAAGCTTGGAGTTTTATCCAAAGGTTATGAACTTGAGCAAGAGATTAATGTTTGGTTTTCAAAGATATTTATTGAATGATTTGAGCAGGACATTATGATTCCATCAATGTATAACTTTTTTCTTGTAAAGAAAGGTAGTATAGATTATTTAAATATTATACATTGTTATACATTGTTATCTAATGATTGTTTTAAATTGTAAATGTGTTTTATGTTTTCAGAAATAGGTAATGCTTTATTGAAAAATAACTGTAACTGTTTTTATGAAAAATAACTTAAGTGTAAATGTATTTTAAAGTTTTATACAGCAACATAAATGTCTAAATTTTTATCAAGTGAGAACACTTTTATTCTTTATTATATTATGACATATGAACACATCTGAACTTGACCCCCAAATTTATTACACATTACTGCTTTATGCTAAAGTTCATATGTTGTTCATCAGTTGTATAGAACTATTTTAATGATCTACTTCTGTTCTTACTATTTAGTGTTGTAATAATACGATGGCGATCTTTGTTTTCTTTTAGGCATACTTTCGGATATCAAATTGAAATTCCAAATATTGGTAAAAATCAAAATGTCAACAATAGAAAAATATGATGTTGTTTTTCATGTAGATTTTTCTTTTTAACTTGAAGAAGATCTACTTGTTGACTTACAAATTTGAAATGCATTTTTATGGAAAGATAAACCTGAAAGTTGCTTAAATTAAACTATCCAGCTCTAAGGAAAGTGGATTGTGCTGTCTACGGGCATGTTTTGTTAGCTCACCTGTCACAAAGTGACATGGTGAGCTATTGTGATCGCTTTTTGTCCCATGTCCGTCCGTAAACTTTTACTTTAAACAACATCTCGTCATAAACCGCTAAGCCAATTTCATCCAAGCTTCACAGGAATGTTCCTTGGGTAGTCAACTTTATAAATTGTTCAAAGAATTTAATTCTATGTAGAACTCTAGTTGCCATGGCAACCAAAAGAAAAAACTTAAAAAATCTTCTTATAGAAAACAGAAAGAGCTGCAGCTTAAATATTTGGCATGAAACATAGTCTATTCAGTGTCTACCAGTTTGATCAAAAAAATACCCTAGGGGTCAAAATTGGTCCCTCCCGGGGGGGGGGGGGGGGGGTGGGGGGGTGGGGGAGAGGTCATTGATTTTCCGTATTTGTATATAGTAAAAACTTAAAAAAATCTTCTTAAAAAAAACAAATACGTAGCTAGAGCTTAGATATTATGCATGAAACATCTTCTAGTGGGTGTCTACCAAGTTTGTTCAAATAAAGGCCCTGTGGTAAAAATTGGCCGCGCCCCAGGGGTCATTGTTTTTCCCTTTATGTATATTATAGTAAAAACTTAAAAAATCTCTTTTTTAAAAAACCAAAAGAGCTAGAGCTAAGATATATAGCATGAAACATCTTCTAATGGGTGTCTACCAAATTTGTTCAAATGAGGGCCCTTGGGTTTAAATTGGCCCTCGCCTCAGGGTTCATTGATTTTCCTTATAATTTTGTGTATAGTAAAAACTTAAAAAATCTTCTTTTAAAAAACCCAAAGAGCTAGAGTTCAGATACTAAGCATGAAATATCTTCTAGTGAGAGTCTACCAAGTTTGAACAAATAAAAGCCCTGGGGTGAAAATTAGGGCCGCCCAGGGAAGGGGGTCATTGTTTTCCCTATATATAAATAATATAATATAATATGTATAATAAAAACTTAAAAATCTTCTTACCAAAACCCCAAAGAGATAGAGCTTAGATATTTATCAGGAAACATCTTCTATTGGGTGTCTACCAGGTTTGTTCAAATAAAAGCCCTTGGGTTAAAATTGGCCCCGCCCCAGGGGTCTATATACAGATGAGCGATTTCAGGGCCATCATGGCCCTCTTGTTTAAGTTTGTAGTAGCTATTTTGTTTGAAAATAGAATCTATTATTTGAAGTTTGAGTCAATTTACTTTTAACTAATTGTTACTCAATTATGTTTGCAAACATTTTTCAGTATCTGACCCTCCTGATGGTTTTCAGACAACTGAGGTCACAAGTCGAAACATCTCTATTAAATGGACTGAGCCTATCAACTCATACAGTGAAGAAATCTACGGATATGTTATTCAGCTGAAAAACCAAGACACTTGTGTGGAAGAAATAGTTTATAAATGTTTAACCCCAAGTTGTTTTGGAACTTTTGAGGTGAATATTAATATTTTTGTTTAGGTTTTTGGTTTCTTTCAAATTTGTTTGGTTTTGTTATTTGAGTCTTTTGTAATAGTATTCCTAGTAAAGGTCTTTTGCTAATAATTTTAAGAAGACATTGATAATTGTATCTAGCACTTGCATCAAATGTGTTCTGATTTTTGTTACAACAGCTATGAAAAAGGTATAAATAATTATACAGAAATGTGCTGACTTTAAAGAATAACAAGAAGAATCACTTTTATAATTTATTTTTTGATCTTGGAAATTTTAGGCAATGTTTATTATCACTTTTATGACTCTCTGACCTGTACCTTCACATACAATAATAATTATTATATCCATGTTAGTTGCTGTAATGTTGTGTGAAAATCAAAATACAATTTTTTGACAGGGGAGGGGAGGGGGGGCTGGGGGTTGGATAGGGGTAGGTCAGGCCTAAGAGCATAATTTTCAAGTATCCTAGATTAAGATCAGATCAGGTTGTAACTATGGTTTCATATTTTATACAGAAACAAGCTGGTCAGAAATCGTTTAATATTGAAAAATATTTTTTTATCTGAATTATTATTAGATGGACTTAATAAATTAATAAATAGATTAAACAACTTTTATTTTCAGCCTTCTACTTTAGAGGATATGTGTGACAGTAATGTAAGAAAGTTGTTTCGTGTAAACAAACCTGAGCTTATTGGTTCAAAGTCATACCAGTTTTTGAATCTCTTACCAGATACAACTTATACTATTATTGGTGCAGCTGTCAACAATTTAGGAACTGGCAATACTGTTCAATTAGATATAACAACAGAAGAAGAAGGTATTGTTTCCCAATTAAAAGATCAGTGAAGGAAAAGTTAAAGTTGAGATATTGTCATTTGTAGTGAGAAATTATCAGTTGTATTAAGAAATTTGTAAAAGGAATTAACAATTGTAATAAAATTATCAGTTGTTTTGATGTCATTTGTAAAGTCTATATTGGGATACATGTAAAATCATCAGTTGTATTAAAAAAAAATATCTATTTCGTTAAAGGTAGATTTATTGTCAACATAATTATACATGTATAAAACATGTTTAAAATTATATGTGAATTGTCTCATGAAATTGTTTACTCTGAAACTATTGATCTGTGTTGCATGAAAAGCACTTAAATTAATTAGATAACTAGACACACTGACAAAAATGGAGTATGGTCGGTGCAGACAGGTCTTGTGTAATCTCTTTTCATTATCACAATATAAGTTCCTATTAACTGTATTATTTTACAGCTCCACAAATACCATACAATGTGGAAGTCAATGAAATGAAGACAACATCCTTTAAAGTGACTTGGAATATAAATGATCCCAGACCTGGCAAAACAAACTACACAGTTAAACTGATAGCTGAACATCCTGCAGAGTCCAAAGAAGTTATACTGACAGGTTGCATTTTTATATTCCTGACAAATTTTGGTACATGTATACATTATTATGCATTGGTTCTTCGTCCGTCTGTTGGCCGTTTTTTGTGTCCCCCTGTATCTTTTGAACCAATCAGAAAACATTAAAAAATTTGGCAGAAATATTACTTATAATGAGACAATGTGCATAGCACAGGTTTTGCTTTCTCAGAGGTCAAAATTAGCCCTGCCTAGTTGATTACTTGATGTTATGTAGACTTACAGAGGAAAACATATTTACTGGTAAGTTCCATTATATGAATCTACAATATCTAGAGCTCAGATACTTAGCATGTAGCATTGCCGTATTGACCTTTACAAAACCGATATGAATCATGCCCCTCAATTCAATATTGGCCCCGCCCTAGGGGCTACATGATTTATATAGACTTTTAGGAAAATACATCTAAGTCTTATTGTGTGAAACTACGATGCTTAGAGTGTTGATATTTAGCATGTGACATCACTTTGTTGACCATAAAATAACTGGTATTATTCATACCACTTGGGTCAATATTTTGACCCACACACCCACATACACTTACTTTGTTAATTTAGCTTTATATAGGAAAACACATTTTAAAGTCTTAATTTGGTGAAACTGCAATACCTTTAGTAGCATTGCCTTGTTGGCCCTTACAAAACTGGAATTTATCATGCCCTTAGAGTCAGTATTGGCCCTGCCCATAGGGTCACTAAATTGATATTAGACTTGTTAGAGAAAAACATTTCAGTCTAATTTTGTGAAACTTAAATGTGAAGAGCTAAGATATTTAGCATGTAGCACTTGCTTTATGTAGACTAAGGAATAGGAAAAAACATTCTTATCTTTTTGTGGATAAATACAGTATCCCTCTAAATTTGGCATAGAGCATTGCCTAGTGAACCTCTTTGAAAGTTTTATGAATCATTCTTAGAGTGGAAAAAATGCCTCCAGCATAGAGGTCTAATAGTATCATAAGTATAATTCAGATTAAACATTTTGAAGTATGAAAGTTATTTCTTGTTTAACATTTCAGACTTTTAAGATACTAATAAATCAAATGTTTTCATAGAAAACCCAGATTTTAAGGAATTATTTAAAATATTTTTAATCTAATCTTGTCTCATTTTGATGAACATTTTTATGAAAGAAAAGTATATATTTTATTTTTCTATAGGGTTTAACATTAGAGAATATCTTGCTGAAAATCTTCAAGAATATTGGAATTACAGTGTTTTAGTGACAGCTACTACTTCAAAAGGTTTCAAAACATCTATTGAGACGATAAAATACAGAACTCTTCCTACAGGTATACATTTTTATCTTGATATTTTGTGACATTTAAAACAACAATCTCCGTATAAGTTAAATTAGTTTTCAAATAAAACATTTTTTGTATATTTACACACCTGAATGTTATTAATGTGGTCATTTTGGCACTTTGAAAATGGATCAGTTTTTTTATTTTTAACTATTTGGAAACTATAAATGTGTCCTGATTGTTAACAATTTTAGGATATTACAGGAGAACCAAAATTGCAGCGCCTGTTGTCTTTTGGATAAATTATCTTCAATCAAAGTTTAGATACCAAAAAACGATAAAATCTAAAGTTCTACAGAACATATCTTTGAAATATCCTCTCAAAATTAACGATTTTAAAATCATTGTATAATGTTTAAAGATCTTGAAACCACATCCTTTATATGAATATTAAAGAAATAACAGAAAGGGTCAATGTGACTTGTTATCGTGATTATCTATGAAACTGTTCAGCTTACTTCAGCTGTGAGAAAAGTTGAGCACATTGCCTCCATGGACTTCTATTGTTAGAATTTACCTATCATATCTTCATTTTTCATTGCATTTATTTCAGCACCAGGAAAAGTTTCAAACTTTGTTCTCACACCCAATCCTGGTGGAAATTATACAAGGATGAAGATAAGCTGGCAAGCCCCAGACATATTGTTGCAGAATAGTGTGATAAAATCATACAGCTTTATGTATTTTCAAGACCAAAAAATTGTAAGTCTTCATGAAGACAGAAAAGCATTTCTTTATTTGACAAAATGTTGTTTAATGTGCCCATGTCTTAAAGTGCAGTAGCATATAGACCCTTTTACGATGCGGTCTATTGCTATGAAACATTGATCAGAAGTAGTATTTTTCCTAGCGCATGCGTGTAAGGCAAAAAGAGCATTGCCCTACATGGAAATATAGTAGAAGTTCATATAGACATTTCAGAGTTAGTTTAAGGTAAAAAGTAGAAAATTATATGAAATAGCTTTTTTACAAAAACATAAAAGATGCCTTTAAAGCTTTGTGGCCAAGTTTGCCATAAAAAGGCATGGAAAAGATTATTGTTTAAGAATTCCCAACTTACGACCACGAACCTGACATTGACATTGTTGTAAAACATGTGGGAATATATCTATTAGAAAATAAAGAGGTCAACATAATTGTTGTTGATTTTCATATAAAAACTAAAGAAATTTAAATAATATGAAATCAAGGTAAATTATCATTCTGAAAAAATAGTCAGAACACATAATAATGCATTTCAAGTTTTCAATCATTTTACCAGATTTTATCTGATTGATGCCAAACAGAAAATTTTTAACAACTGTTTCACCCATGTATCTGTTGAATATCACCAAATGTTGTATCAAGTCTATTTTAGGATAGTCATATTTTATTCTCTAGAAAGGATCCTCTATCCTCTGGTAATACATTATGCCATAGTTTATATCAACTTAAATTTTATCAACATTGATCATGTTTGCAGGAACTGCCTGTTACATTCCAGTTGGTAATTAAATTATCTTTAATGATAATCTATTAGTATGTGCTTTTTATTTTACTTTTTCAGGAAAGTAGACATAGTAAATCATTTGAACATGAACTATCCCAAAGTCATAATTATGAATTATTTGTGGATGTAATACCAGAAGAAACTTACACTTTTGAGGTATGTAATGTAAATTATTTATGGTCATTATCATAGAATACTAAAAGATGTAAATTTGAGATGATTTCTTGTACCTTTGACTTGAGTAGTCTTTATTCATATTTTTAAGTGAATATTATAATGAATATGATTTTTTCAACTAGAGGAAAGACAAAAACTGTGTTTTATAATGTTTTAATTAGAAAATAGTGCAGTGTTATAGAATTATGCATGGCTTAGAAATATCATGAAAAAATATATAAAAAAGAGAATTGATAAAAAAAAATGTTGAACTACATTAAGGGTAGAAGTAATTTTCCTGAAGTCATTTGGTTTATTGATGTCATATCAGCTGTCAATTATGATGTGCAAGCATTCATTTTTATGCTGTGTGACACTGTGTGTTGCCCTATCTGTTTGATTGGTGAATAGTGTGAAGCATGTTAGAATAATGGATTTAGAGGATGTTAGATGCTTGATCTGAAAAAGAAGCATTGAATGAGAAATAATTTGCAATAAAAATAGCAAATGTAAACAAATTTGTATGGAGGATAAAATAATGATATTCAGTACCTTTACTCAGTACCTTTACTAATTGTGAAAAAGCAAAAGGATCAAGACATAGTTTAGTTTGCCAACAAAAACCATTTCATTAACTGTAACAGAACACCAAAACAGAAATAAATCATTCAGGAAATAAAAGTTAACATTTTTGGGGCTTATGTGGCCTTTAATTATGTAAATTTACAATTTATTTCTGTCAGACCACCTGTATAGTTTTTTACTAAATTTGCATATTGATATTGAATATTATCAAATTCATATAATTTAACAAAGTTGAAAGATAGCAGTCTGTTAAGGTCTGAGCCCCATAATGGTCAATATTGCAATTTGAAAAAATTTCATGCTAGTTCTTTTCTATATCAGGTAAGACACTTACACATGAAATAATAAAAACTTTCACCGTTTATTAAGGTAGTAATTGTTATTTTTGTACCCCCACCCATAACCTTCAAAAATCAAACCAACAGTAAATAAATAAAAATTCTTCTTTATTGAAACTGAAAGAAAATTTCATTCATACTGGCCTAATGTCATACAGAATATATTGCTCAACAATACAATACTTCATAAATATTGATTTCATTCAACATATTTGAAAAAAATAATAAATCATTACCCCACCCACCCCAGCTTTTACCACTCTCAGAAAACTATGAACGTTTTTAAAAAATCGACAAAAAAAAATGAATAAAGTGACAGACCTGAAATTTACCAGAAATTGATATCAATATGTATAAAAGCTTTGTACCAAATTACAAAAAGATTTACCGTCTAGTTTTGAAAAAAAAAAGTTTTCAAATTTATTGTCGCTCACTGGTCGACACATGAAAAATCTGAATAAATTTGTTTATGTAGCAAAAAATCAAAATTTAAACATAACTAGATTGCTTCCATCATAAATTAATGTTTCAAAATAGTAATACATTTAATACCAAATGTTTTAGCTAAACTATTGTGAAAAAACTGCTTTTCAAGGCTCAAAATAGTATTAATAACACTAAAAAATTGAACAATATGAGCCTATATCCCACCCACTAACATTTCACTATTTTTAAAAATAACATTTAGTCATATTCCATCCATACAAAAAATCAGGTCTGACATTTAACAAATAATGCCATCAATGTTATGAAAGTGTTGTAGTAAATAACTCATATATAGTCTAGTTTTGATAAACATGTTTTCCAAATTTATCTAGATTGAGTACACCAAACATGAAAAATAAAAATAATACTTGCAAATACATTACACAATCCAAAAGTATGTAGAACATGTATGTAATATACAATCATAATGCATAAGTGTAACACATTATATGTTTTATGTGTTTACCATATTACCCTTTAGAAAATACTGCACATACAAAATGAGCTTTAACAATTTTTTTCAAAGTAAGCTGCAAGTTTAGGCACCACAGACTCTAGAGTCCTCTTTGCGTTGGTTACTCGAGGTTGGCCTTCACTATTTTTCGCAGTAAAAACATTTAACAGTCCATCTTCTCCTTTTCTCCTGAATATTGTTTTTAAGTGTTCAAAGTTCAGACCGGAACTTGCAATATTGTCAGCAGTTGCATTCTTCATCACCCCAGCTGCAATAAGTACTTCGAGAGTTGGAAAATTTTTCTTTTTTTCTTTATTACAGTCCATATTGAATTTAATATCAATCGGTGGAAAACTTTTTACAATCATACAATCATTTTGCGTTGACACCATCAGGGACACAAGCTCCGATAAACATTTTACGTCAGCTTCTGCATTATGTGCATTGTAGCCCTTGCACAAAAGATCACGGGCTAGATCCTCTTGTTTGTATGAAGTTCTATTAGGATACACATGTTTGAACACAGGTAAAGAATCTACTAACCCTGTGATAGCCGACAAGAAATTTGGTAGCAATCCACAAACTTTATATGCTGCTGTCAATACTATAAAGTCAAATCGCCTTCCATTATGGGCAATAATGTAAATATTGTCAAACGATTCAAGCCATGAAAGAAATTTTTTCAATGCTACATGTAACGGAACTGGCTCCACTGTCACACCATCCACTGCCATCACCTTTTCATTAACCATAATAATTTTGGTAACATTCTCTGCAGCTGATGTGATTGGAATTTTTGGGATAACATACTTGTTGAATGTAGAACCAGTTGACATTTCAACAGCAGCTATCTGGGTGATGTGCGGAATTTGATCTCCCCTTACTGAAACATAAATGATCGTAATTTACTATAAAAATTATGTTCAAAGGTAACAATAACCATTGAATAAAACAAATAAGATCAGTTTTCTATCCAAGTTCACAATACTTCATGTATTCTTTTAAAACATAACAAATACCAAAGAACTAGAAGGTTTTTTGTCAAAAAAAAAATCAAAACAAAAACATATGTCTCCCAATTATGCACTATTAATAGGGTTGGTAACAACTATTTTTGTTTCTTTATTGAGGGTTAATTGCAAATTACCCAGCTGCTGTTACCAGTGTTACCTGTGAAATTACCAGTACTTTGTACCTTTCAACTTTTCCACATAATAACTTATGCCATATCAGGCTATAACTCAGGATCTGTTGATCTAGAGACCTGTGCTCCATCTGATTTGCTAAATTTATAGGTTGAAAGAAAGTCACTTACTTAGATCAGTGGTTTCCAGATCAGCTACAATGTAAGTCGGTGGTCCATGTGGTATAACTTGCTTGAACACTCCACGTGGAATAGGATCAGGTAGTCTTTCAATATCCACCTCTTCATCATGACCAATGCCTGTCAGCAAACAGTAAATACACATAAATGAAAAGAACAGAGTGTAATAATTACTTTGGTCACAAAAACACTCAATTTATTTCAAGTTTATCAAGCAAGACCTCAATTTAGTTGTAAACTGACTTTTAATTCAGACTCAATCCTTTGATGTTTTTTTCTTCCAGGTGAATGCAATAAATGAGCAAAACGAGACTGGAGAAAAAAACTCTGAAACAAAGACTGCCCCTGCTGGAGGTATTTGATATTAAATATAAATCACTGTTTAGAAATCATGATATTTAACTGTCCCTTTTCAAAGAAACCCTTTTCAAAGAAAAAGAGTTCAGAAATTACATCCTCAATTCACAATTTGTCATTTCTCAATGTTGGTGGGTGGGTGAATCACGTGACTTTGTATAGTAATACAAATGAGAAATGGCAGCCACCGAGCCTTGGCAAGTTTTGTATTTTTAGCTCACCTGTCACAAAGTGACAGGGTGAGCTTTTGTGATCGCTTTTCGTCCGGCGTCCGTCCATCGTCCGTCCGTCCGTAAACTTTTGCTTTAAATGACATCTCCTCATAAACCACTGAGCCAATTTCATCCAAACTTCACAGAAATGTTCCTTTGGTGGTCACCTTTAAAAATTGTTCAAAGAATTTAATTCCATGCAGAACTCCGGTTGCCATGGCAACCGAAAGAAAAATCTTTAAATATCTTCTTTTAAAGAACCCTAAGAGCTAGAGCTTAGATATTTGGCATGAAACATCTTCTAGTGAGTGTCTACCAAGTTTGTTCAAATAAAAGCCCTGGGGTCAAAATTGGCCCCGCCCCAGGGGGTCATTGATTTTCCCTATATGCATATAGTAAAAACTTAAAAAATCTTCTTTTAAAGAACCCAAAGAGCTAGAGCTAAGATATTTGGCAAGAAACATCTTCTAGTGAGTGTCTACCAAGTTTGTTCAAATAAAAGCCCTGGGGTCAAAATTGGCCCCGCCCCAGGGGGTCATTGATTTTCCCTATATGCATATAGTAAAAACCTTAACAATCTTCTTTTAAAGAACCCAAAGAGCTAGAGCTAAGATATTTAGCATGAAACATGTTCTAAGGGTGTCTACCAAATTTGTTCAAATAAAAGCCCTGGGGTCAAAATTGGCCCCGCCCCGGGGGTCATTGATTTTCCTTATATCTGTATGGCAAAAACTTAAAAATCTTCTTTGAAAAAACCCATTTAGCTAGAATTTAGATATTAAGCATGAAGCATCTTCATAGCTAATGTTTAGATATTAAGCATGAAACATCTTCTAATCAGTGTCTACAAAGTTTGTTCAAATAAAAGCCCCAGGGTCAAAATTGGCCCATCCCCGGGGGTCATTGATTTTCCTTTTTTGTGTATAGCAAAAACTTAAAAATCTTCTTTGAAAAAACCCAAATAGCTAGAGTTTAGATATTAAGCATGAAACATCTTTTAGTAAATATCTACAAAGTTTGTTCAAATAAAAGCCCAAGGGTCAAAACTGGCCCTGCCCTAGGGGTGTCATTGTTTTTAACTATATGTGTATAGTAAAAACTTAAAAAATCTTTTAAAAAACCCAATGAGCTAGAACTTAGATGTTTAGCATGAAACATCTTCTTATGGGTGTCTACCAAGTCTGTTCAAATAAAAGCCCTTGGGTAAAAATTGGCCGGGGGGGGGGGGGGGATGGGGCTATATACAGGTGAGCGACCTCAGGGCCATCATGGCCCTCTTGTTATAAATTTAGGTGAAAAATCTTTCCTTAATCCAAACTAGACCTAGCCTATCATATGCATGGTGAGTGTGGTTTGTCAGATTTGCTTAACCTTTTAGTATTTTGCTGCATTATTTTATTTGAAAATATATAATGGTTGTTTGTCTGCCTTCATTTTTGTGTCGCCTCTACGGAGTAGTGGCGACATATAGGGATCACTTCTCCCTCGTCCGTCTGTCCATCTGTCCGTCACAAAACTTGTCCGGACTACTCCTCATAAACTACTGGTGAAATTTCAGCCAAACTTTACAGGAATCATCAGTACCAAGTCTAGTTGTGCATATTGTCAGCATTTTCCGGTTCAATGCCGGTTCAAGGATTTTTGTAAGAGTTATGGCCCTTTAATAATTTTTATTTTTTAAGTTTGTCGGGACTACTTCTCTTATACCACTAATGCAATTTCAATGAAACTTTACAGGATTGATCTGTACATATGTAGCTCAAGTCCTTGCGCATATTGCACGGGTTTTCCGGTTGAATGATTTTTGGCCGAGTTATGGCCCTTTGATAAAAAGGTGTTTTTTTCTGTGTGTTGCTAGATACACAAAAGCTTGTCCGGACTACTCCTCATAAACTACTGGTGCAATTTTATCCAACCTTTACAGGAATGATCAGTACCAAGTCTAGTTGTGGACTGTCTGTCTGTCTGTCTGTCTGTCACAAAACTTGTCCCCACTACTCCTCATAAACTACTGGGGCAATTTCATCCTAACTTAACAGGAATTTATGTCGCCACTACTCTGATCACTTCTCCGTCTGTCACAAAACTTGTCCCAACATGAAATTGGCCATGATGAGGCGACACATGTGATCACTGATCGCTCTTGTATCATATATACATGTAAATATACCTCTTAAGTATACACCCAATTGTAGTTGGCATTAAATATCTTTTTGCAATTTTCACAATATTATATTACTTTCTTTTAATTTCCTTTAAAACTAAGAGTAAAAGAATAAGAACCGGATCAACTGATTGAGAGTAAAATTTAAAATTAAATAGATTTATGATTAAAACATATGGAATAAATATATTAATCACATAAACCTCGGCACAGGAGTGTAAGACATTGACTGTTAAATAAAAAATATATATTTCACTAGTGCAAGCTTATGTTTGTGTTACACTTTAGCTATGTCAAAAATAATAGTTTTCTCCAAATTTTTGTGTCTGCATTATAAATTGGAAAACAGACATTAATTTCGCCCCCTCAAATGATCCCCCACTTCCCCCCAGACATTTGCTTCCCATTTCTGTCATGGTGGCCATTTTGCCCCTCGTCTGTTTTGGATTGGCAGACATTTGCCCCATGGAAATTTTGAAGGACAGACATTTCTCCACACTTGGCTCAGATGTCCTATTGAACAAGGATATGTGCAGACCGCTTTCGTCATTAAGTTGGTACATGATCAAGGTCACACTTTAAGGTCAGATAATTTCATGTCTGCACAATAAAATCTATACACTTTAATTGACTTTCTTCAAACTTTGCTCATAGTCGCACTTTCAAAAATATAGATACATGGTCCTTCAAAAAATCCTGCAACCTCAAAATATTTAAGGTATTTCTAACTTTCGTGAAAGCTACTGTTGAATTAAAAATTATATCTTTCTTTTTAAAGTATTTACATATGTCTTGTTTGATGCATTTGAGCTTATTTTGCTTACCTGCATTTCAGTTCCTATCAACATAGCAAAGACTCAAAATATTACATTAATACCAAGTGATAAAGTTAAAAATGTAGGAGAGACAAGACTGACAGTGTCAATAGTGAAAGAATTCTTTCTTGAAGAAACATATGGTAAAGTACAAGAAAGAGGTCTGTTTGTGTGTCCAAAGAAGGATTGTAGTCTAAAAGGTAAGCTCTGTTTCAGTCTCATCAAAAGGAAATGCTAAGATATGTATATTAATGTGTAACTATTTCAGACATGCATAACAGTTTGAGTGTGCTTCTTTCCATCATTCTGTCACATAAAATTTAGTTTCTCACACAGCCTCTATTTATTGACAGAAATGAGTATATTTGGTTTGTAGTTTTCTTTAGACAGCCTTCATTCACTCATATTATTTTAATTAATAACCTTACGTGGCAATTTGCCAGTATGACAGGTTTGAGTTTAATAAAGTAAAAGTCATTAGGCCTAGTAATGTACCATTTTACTTTCCTCATAGAGCCTTTGTTTGTGTTACCTATATCATTAAAACAAACTCCTTGCAATGACGTCTACCAAGAGGCTAAAAAGATTATTTTACATTTCTACTTTTTAGCTCGACTATTCGATAAGAATAAGTAGAGCTATTGCAGTCACCCGAGCGTCGGCGTCGGCGTAACCACTTATGTTAAAGTTTTTGTAATAGTTCAAATATTTTCGAAGTCCATTGACATATGGCTTTGAAACTTTGCACACTTGTTCACCATCATGACCCCAACCTGTAGACAGGAGGAGGTAACTCTATCAAGCATTTTGACAGAATTATGCCCCTTTTTCGACTTAGAATTTACGTTAAAGTTTTTGTAATAGTTCAAATATTTTCAAAGTCCATTGACATATGGCTTTGAAACTTTGCACACTTGTTCGACATCATGACCCCAACCTGTAGACAGGAGAAGGTAACTCTATCAAGCATTTTGACAGAATTATGCCCCTTTTTCGACTTAGAATTTACGTTAAAGTTTTTGTAATAGTTCAAATATTTTCAAAGTCCATTGACATATGGCTTTGAAACTTTGCACACTTGTTCACCATCATGACCCCAACCTATAGACAGGAGGAGGTAACTCTATCAAGCATTTTGACAGAATTATGCCCCTTTTTAGCTCGACTATTCGATAAGAATAAGTAGAGCTATTGCAGTCACCCGAGCGTTGGCGTCCGCGTCGGCGTCGGCGTAACCACTTATGTTAAAGTTTTTGTAATAGTTCAAATATTTTCAAAGTCCATAGACATATGGCTTTGAAACTTTGCACACTTGTTCACCATCATGACCCCAACCTGTAGACAGGAGGATGTAACTCTATCAAGCATTTTGACAGAATTATGCCCCTTTTTGACTTAAAATTTACGTTAAAGTTTTTGTAATAGTTCAAATATTTTCAAAGTCCATTGACATATGGCTTTGAAACTTTGCACACTTGTTCACCATCATGACCCCAACCTGTAGACAAGAGGAGGTAACTCTATCAAGCATTTTGACAGAATTATGCTCCTTTTTCGACTTAGAATTTACGTTAAAGTTTTGTAATAGTTCAAATATTTTCAAGTCCATTGACATATGGCTTTGAAACTTTGCACACTTGTTCACCATCATGACCCCAACCTGTAAACAGGAGGAGGTAACTGTATGAAGCATTTTTTTACTATCAAGCACTAAGAATAGTCGAGCGTTGCTGTCCTACCGACAGCTCTTGTTCGACTTAGAATTTACGTTAAACTTTTTGTAATAGTTCAAATATTTTCAAAGTCCATTGACATATGGCTTTGAAACTTTGCACACTTGTTCAACATCATGACCCCAACCTGTAAACAGGAGGAGGTAACTCTATCAAGCATTTTGACAGAATTATGCCCCTTTTTCGACTTAGAATTTACGTTAAACTTTTTGTAATAGTTCAAATATTTTCAAAGTCCATTGACATATGGCTTTGAAACTTTGCACACTTGTTCAACATCATGACCCCAACCTGTAAACAGGAGGAGGTAACTCTATCAAGCATTTTGACAGAATTATGCCCCTTTTTCGACTTAGAATTTACGTTAAACTTTTTGTAATAGTTCAAATATTTTCAAAGTCCATTGACATATGGCTTTGAAACTTTGCACACTTGTTCAACATCATGACCCAAACCTGTAAACAGGAGGAGGTAACTCTATCAAGCATTTTGACAGAATTATGCCCCTTTTTCGACTTAGAATTTACGTTAAAGTTTTTGTAATAGTTCAAATATTTTCAAAGTCCATTGACATATGGCTTTGAAACTTTGCACACTTGTTCACCATCATGACCCCAACCTGTAAACAGGAGGAGGTAACTGTATCAAGCATTTTTTTTTACTATCAAGCACTAAGAATAGTCGAGCGTTGCTGTCCTACCGACAGCTCTTGTTTGGAAATATTTTTGAGATATGGTATATAGCAATATTTTTTGTTGGGTTTGATAAATTTTCATTTCTTTCCATTAGAGTTCATTATAGTTTTTGAAATGTTTTTTTAACATAAGTTAAAGCACGTTAGAGGAGCATTCATCAATTCCACAGATGATGGGGTCACTCCTTATGTACTTATGTCAGCTCTTCCTAACCTGATTCATAACTTAAGAAGAAATAAGCCATGCTTTTGTAACTTAAAAGGGGTATTGCCCATGGATAGTAGATTAACCTGATTTGATTTAAAAGTCAGAAAGTCAAAGGTCACTGCGGTTTTGACCACCAAAGGTTTATCTGACTGATAACTAAAAAACACTTTGGCCTACAGTACTAAGATTTGGTGTGGAGGTAGGCCATGACTAGAGGAGACTTTGAGGTCAGTGGGTCACAGTGGTCTGGTCCACTGAAAGCTTATACAGTTGCTTTAGTCTACAGTCCTAAGATTTGGTGTAAAAGTTGGTAATGACCAGCAGACAACTTGTTTTAAATTAGAGGTAGGTCTGTAAGTGATGGTCATAGTGGTGTATGAAATCCTTATCTAATCCAGAGCAAGAGTTTCATAAGTCATAATTTATGTTAATTATGATAAAATTATAATACATATATGTATATATTTTGTGTATTAATATAATATTGGCTTTAATAAAACATGCATGCAAGTATGTCATTGTGACAGCAAATGATAAAATGGGACCATCAGAGTATCCTTTAGACACATTTCTACTGATATTGTCTGGCAGTTTTGATAAAAAAACTTTTTTAATTTAGATACTGTGACAATGTTAGCACACTTTGATGGAATGGACAGCTGGAAGGAAAATAAAGAATCTTACAGGGTCACAAATAAAACATGGTTTGATGATCTAGAAAAGAGTCAAACAAAAAGTAAGGTTATACATGTGTTACAGCAATTAGTTTTTTAAATATCTTAAACCTACTAACAATCTTATCTTCTGCAATCTTAATATCAAAACTTTACAGTACGAATTGCATTTGGAATCATTGGATGAGAATATATGTTGCTCACAAGAAAATTCATTTTAGTATTATGGAAATGTTGTATTCCAGCAATATCTTTATCAAAAGTTCACCACTTTTTGTAAACAATCTCTTCTAGTTTTTGATATGCAAAATGATATAACAATCAAGTTATATTTTTTGTGTATCTCATTTCAGCATATTACAGGTAATGATTTTATAACATGAGATATATGAGTTGCCTAGAAGAAGTTGTCAAAGAACTTTTTTTCACTGATCTTTAATTTATACTGAATAACTTTGTTTCTACCTTTCTTTATCAAGGTAGGAGAAGACGTTCTGTTACTGAACTTGAATATACTGTTGGAGTAGAGGATTGCTCTAAACTGAGTACTGACAAGTATTGTAATGGACCACTGCAACCTGGATCAACATACTAGTATGTTTTATTTGAAAATATATTTGATGCTTCTACAGTTTTACTGTCACTCAACTTTTTTCTGTTGTCAAGTGTTACACAAATGTATAAACTGTGGAAAATGGATGAGAAGAATTGAAAGTAGTATTTTTACTGTTTTAATTAGTTATATTATAAATATGAATGTATTTTGAAAGATTAGTTTGTCTGCAAGTTAAAGGGAGCTAAGGCTAAGTGATAAAGATGGGGGAGGGGGTACCCGGGTATTGTAGGTTCAAGTCGTACTGGGTTTGCAATAATGTTTCTTCCTTTTACACTGGTTCTGGTTACTTCTGTGTTAGAAGTCTCCAGGAAGGCTGGAATAAGCTAAAGGTTTGCTTCACTAATAAGTTTAGATAGATTAAGTTTAAACTGCAGTTTCATGACTAAATTATTTAATGTATGATTGAAGTATTTTGAGGTATTGCTGCTGTCAGTAAAATAATCCAAAATAGTTTTGAGTAATAATGATTCAAAGAAATATATATTTTAAAACTCATGTCATGTTTCCTTTAAATAGATTTATATTTACATAAACAATTCCCTTGAAATGGTTTTGTTGACCCCTGTAAACTTTGATCATGATTTACACACTAGCCCCCCACACCCCAATGTGATACTCCCCTGTAAACACTCTATTAAAAATAATTTTAATGTTTAAACAAGATTGGGACACTTGTTTCTATGATAAAACTGATTTTCAAACAATCTTTACATATATGAAAAAAATACGGTTTACCATCAGGTTAAATAAAGTGCTATATTATCACCTAGTCTTTCAAAGGCTGACAAAAAAGATATTTCTGAGAAAAAATACTATTTTGTGCCAATATTGTAAAATGATTTAGATTGAAAAAAGCAATGGTGAAAAATCAGTGAAACTTATATGATATAAAGTTTGGAGAGTTTAATTGATTTTAAATATATTGCTGTGGATAGCTGCATAAATGTTATGAAATATGCATTTAATTGCTTGAGTATAATCGTTACAGATGTTCACAGACATGGCACTTTTAAACTGTCATTTTCATGCTTTACAATTATATAGATTATGTTATGGTACATAAGTGAATTTAAATACTTGTACCAACAGTTGACAATTATGACTCACTTGTATAACAATACTTTTTTTTTCAGCATATTTTGTGTGTCATGTACTAGTGGAGGTTGTCTTGTAAGTGATGGAAATGGTCCATTTATAACAAAAGCAGGTAATGATATTTTGTAAATGAAAAGTAAACAAAAATTGTCTAAGTTTTCTCTTATGATGCTAATTTTAGCTTAAATTAGTGCAAAAACACATGATCTGTGCCTACAGCAAGATAAGCCATTGGGATCATTCAGTGTATGTCCATCCATATATACTTTTCAATAATAGACTTTTTTTATGAAAATGTACAATGTATGTATGTACATACATGTAGGGAAAAATCTATGTTAAATTTCGATATTTTTTCAAAGAAATGATTTCTAGTCTTTTGCAAAGAAATCATTAATTTTATAAAACATTTTTTATTTTGCCAATAATTGTAATGTTTCTCATATGCCTTTTAAGTATCAAGTTACCTTGAAACTTTAAACCTGGCAGGGAGTTAAGGTCCGTCCATCTAGGTCTCTGAGGGTAACAAAATTGATTTTGTCCCTGTTCCAAAATTGGTAAGCTATGCTCTGCATTTGGTTCAGAAGAGTTTAGGTGAGCATTCATTATATGGTTGAAAATACAAATTATGAACATCCAATTTTAGAAATGCTTTTGGTAACAACAGAAAATATGTTTTCATTTTGCTATTTTTCATGACATTATGTATAGGTACTGAATGTCATTGCTCTTATGTACCATTTTTCTTTTGAAAATATATGTAGTAGTCATAAACTTATAACAATAAAACTTATATCAATATCTTCTTTCCAAAATTTGGTCTTGATATTTAAATAATATGCAATCAAATATTTTTCAGTGCCAGATGAGGAAGCAAATCTGGGATTGATAATTGGTTTAGTTGTGGCTGGAGTGGTTATCATAGTCCTGATTGCAGTGATTGCAGTTCTTTTACTGCGGAGGAAAAGGAGGCACGGTGATGGCATGTAAGTTTACATCATTACATACATATGGGAACAGTGGCTAATTTTACATGGCTTCAGACCCAAGGACCAAGGGTTAAAGAACTATTTTCATCAACACAGTTTTAAGAAAGACTCAAATGTACAAAGAAGTCAATCTACCAGACTTAGGATGGTTATTTTTACATAAGGTTGAGTTAGAATAAATGAATGTGAATTTTTAAAAAACTTATGTTTCATTTTCAGTTGCATGGTATCTTAGATATTATAATGTTATGCATATGATGACAAAACTTTATTATTATTCATCACATGTTTTATTTACCTCAGACCTTACGTTAACTGCCTAAAGAAAACCATATTATTCTAAATTAGGGTTTGTAACACTTATTATTTCGACGCTAAACCTGTTGTTTAACACAGTTTTAAATAATCATGGAGCTTACTATAGGCAAGTATATCTATAAAGAATAAAACAATGTTAGAAATCTTCGGCCATTCGGGAACTATTTTGCTTGAAAATTAATGCACCTGTCATTTGACAATCTTTACACAGTGATTTCCCCTAACTTTTCGGCGTTAGTGTACATATAAAGGGAAGTAACCGCTTCAAAAAAGCGGACTACTTTCGACATTTGCAATTAACAGCATCAGGGTCTGAAATTTTCACTACCATTATTTGTTTGGGTCGTTGGACCCAAACAAATAAAAATTATTGAAAAATAAAGTTTGAGTGATTTCTTATTAAAATTGGAAATGATAGATCTAATGTGATTTGTTTTTGTTGCTTTTCTAATGTTATTTATGTTGTTTTATAAGGAAACCTTCTCCAGGTGAAGACGATGATGATGATTTCACTAAATTAGACCCAGCCACTGCCAACATAAAAAGGAAAAGGTAAAAAACAACATGTACTTTATTTGAACAGTGAATGAAAATGGTGATAACTGATCAGCTAGAAAAAAATCAGATAATTACATTTCTGGAATTTGACTCATTTCTGTCTCACAATAATAAAGATATGATATGTTTAATGTTAGAGTACTTTTATTTCAATAAATTCAATTTTGCTTAACCAGGACAGTACAAGGTGCTAAGTCCAAATATGAACCTATTGAAATAAAAAAAAACACAAGTGATAGGTCAATTTAATTAAAATTTAAAAATAAAAAAGAAATTAAAACATTTCTTTTTTCTAATATTTGTTTTTCAATTTTCCCATATTCAGTAGTGTTTCAAATATTCAAATATAATTCCCAGCCCTAATATATATATAAGTAACATGTAAGTTACAAGGAAATATAAGACTATTTTGTTACATACTGACATGATTTCCACTATTTCCTTATTAAACATTGAGTTTTTAAGTGTGTCAATATACTAAACATTATCATTTCATTTGATGTAAGGTTTGCAGCTATAAACCAATTGACATCCAGTTAACTTATTACTTCCCTTCTAAATGTTGTTTAACAACTTTCAATAATTCTTTTACTTTAAGCATATTAGAATAAACATAGATATTAATTTTTTTTTACATTATCATAGAGTATTTCACAGTTTATGTTTTACATCCTTTCAATCAATCTATCAATCAGGCCTATGTAAATTGTAATTATATTACTGAACATCTGGAAGAGAACCATGTAATATTGTATAACAATTCTACAAAAAAAACAACAACAAAAACTAAACTTGTGTTGTTATATATGAGATATATTGTGGTATAATTATGTACCTTAACATGTTAAATGCTTTAGGCATGTTATATGATATAAGATTATTATTCCAGGCCAATCAATTTGAATGATATTGAGGAATATGTCGGCAATATGCACAAAGACAGCAACCTGCTCTTCTCAGCTGAATATGAGGTAAATAATGAGAGAAGTATATGTGTTGCATTAAGAAATGTATCATACCATTTTGTGTTTATATTCAGGTCCATTTTCTTAATGTGTCAAAGTAAAATGAAAGTCTCGATTTTTCCTCTTATATATTCTTTTAAATTATTAACCCATTACTTCATGAGCATTTTGTCAAAAATGGCTGTTTTCATTGAAAAGTCTCCCGTTACAAGTTCAAATTGCTATAATACTATAAAAACTGCTTCAACACTAATCAAACTTGGCACAAATGTTGACTGGACCATTGCCCTTGCAACAACATGCTCAGGCTTAAATTTTAGGTTTCCATGGCAACGAGGAGACATCTCAAAATTGCCAAAAATCACTATTTTGCGTTGATTTTTTCCGTCAAAATTGATTTTAAAGTGCTGCAACTTCTCAATGGATTGAGATAGAGTCAAATGCTTTTCAGCGTTGGTTACACGTTACCTTATGATCAATCTGGGGTCATTTATAGCCTCTCACAAGTCCAAAATTTTCTTGGCGATGAGGGGGACTACGCCCCCCTTCAAACCCCCCAAACAGAAGGGGGAATATCCCCCTTCTGGCAACCCCCTGATGTATGTTTTGGTTGGAGGCGCACCGAAAAAGAGTTCACTTTATTTAACAGCATTTCTCAAACAAAAACAAGTGTTGGGGGCCTAAATAAGGTATTTTTTCACCATTTGAGACAACAAAATGGGGGGGGGGGGGTGAAAAGGCGTGTATATAAAGTAATGGGTTAAAAGCTATATTTGAGTCAATTTTTATTTTTCATATTTTACAATGTGTCAAAATTTTTACTTGGTCCATCAAGAATAATTTGGGAATAGAATTTTGATATCAGCTGACCTACTTTTGATATCACTTAACCTACTATTTTTGTTTTTTTTACATACAGACTTGAAATTTGGACCATGGGTGTAATTTATGATGCCGAATGGAATTCAGCTGACCTTCTTTTGATATTATTGATATCATTTGACCTACTTTCTTGGTTTTTGACAGACATGGAATTTGGACCAATGATATTATCTGACCTACTTTTGATATATTATCTGACCTACTTTTGATATCATTTGACCTACTTTCTTGTTTTTTGACATACAGACTTGAAATTTAGACTAGGAATGTAAATTTTGATGTTGAACTGAATTTTGATTTCAGTTGACCTACTTTTGATGTTACTGACACCATTTGACCTACTTTCTTGTTTTTTGACATACAAATTTAAAATTTGGAGCAGGGTTGTTATGTCTGATGCCGAATTGAATTTTGATATCAACTGACCTATTTTGACATTTTTAATATTACTTGGCCTACTTTTTGTTTTTGGCATACAGATTGCAATTTGGACCAAGGGTGTAATTTCTGATGCAGAATTGAATTTTGATGTCAGCTGACCTACTTTTGGTTTTATTGATATCATTTGACCTACTTTCTCATTTTTGAAGTATAGACATGAAATTTGGACCAAGGGTGTAATTTATGATGCCGAATGGAATTTTGATATTATCTGACCTACTTTTGATATTTTTGAATCAATTGACCTATTTTCCTGTTTTTCTTTGACATACAGACTTAAAATTTGGACTAGGGGTGAAATTTTTGATATAGCATGACCTACTTTCTTGTTTTGTGACATACAGACTTCAAATCTGAACAAGGGGTGTAATTTCTGATGCTGAATTGAATTTTGTTAGCAGCTGACCTATTTTTGAAATTTACATTTGTTGCATAAGACAAAGTTAATTAATACACATGGTCGCATGGGCAAGTCAGACTGTAATTATGTTATTACAGTGTATCTAATGATGATATTACAATGTATCTAATTATGATATTAAAGCATATCTAAATATGATATTACAGCATATCTATTTGTTATCTTACAATGTATCTGATTATGATATTACAGGAGTTGAAGACATTAAGCCCTAAACATGCATGTGAGGCTGCTGACAGAGAGGAGAACCGAATGAGGAACAGATACATTAATATCATACCTTGTAAGTCTCTTGTGATATATGTATTATATCTATATCTTTGTTCAAAAAATAAGCAAAGCAAGTACTGTACAAGTGGATTTTTCCATGTGTTGAAAAGATTTTAAAATTCCAGACATTTTGTGTGAGGAAATATTAGCAAACAAGACTTATATTAACCACTCTATCAGGATGATATTAAATCAGAACATATTAGGTGTATGGGAGTTTTTACATTGAAGAAATATAAATAATTGAAGTATAAAAATAATGTTATATAGGCAATGAATTTCAGTAGCAAACAATTTAAAAAATTTAACATTTTAAAAACGGGGCAAATGTCCGATCTTTCCAAAAACATAAGAAGGCAAATGTCCTCCACTTCAAAAAAAAGAGGCACAAGTCCCGAGGGAGGGGAGGCAACTGTCCTGGGAGGGAAAATGTCCATATATCAAATGAGTACAATGTGTATAAATTTTATTCTACAGTTGATCATTCCCGTGTTAAGTTGAGTACCAACGGAGAAGATGACAGTGCTGACTATATCAATGGTAACTACCTGCCGGTAAGTTGTTATATACTTGTTTCAGTGGTAAATTTGAAATATGAGGACATTCTTTATTGGTCAAGATTACATTCAAAAGCTGTGATTGACATCTCTAAAAAAATATCCATTTTCATAATTTTAGAATCTTTGAATATTATTATCAGTTAAAATAAAGGGCCTGCGTGGTGAAATGGACATGATTGCCAACTTCATATCAATTGCTATTCACTGCTGTGGGTTCAAATCTTGCCACAGACTTTATATGACAAATCTATGATACAGTTAGCTTAAAAAAGGTCAATGGGGTTCTACTTTTGTAACTGCTTGAGCCTAAAATGATAACTAAGGATCGTCTGTCATCTTTCATCGCTTGTAAATGCTGAAAAGACCATAATCCAGCCAAACAAAATAGATTAATAAAAAATGAAATAAAGATTGTAAAATGATAATTATTATTTTATATAAATGAAGATTCGAGAAATAAAAAGATTAAAATAACAACCAATTATTTTTGATACACAGAAATGATTGCATGGCCTGGTGGTTAACCCATTGGACTAGTATTCTAAGAATTTTATCCACATAGGTTCAGACCCTGTCAGGGACAAGCCTTTGTTTCCTTGAGCAAGAAACTTTACACTCATTGCTCAGTACTGGTTGGTTCCAGAAATAGATTTGAGTGTGTGTTTATAAGCTGTTAGCTTCCTCCACAATTATTTTTTTTATAAATGGAAGAATTGAGAAATCTTAAGTTTATGTTACAATTTGTTCGCTTTCCAGGGATATAATTCACCACGTGAGTATATAGGATGTCAGGGCCCTATCCCTGGAACTATTGATGACTTCTGGAGGATGACATGGGAACAGAATGTGTCAGTGATTGTCATGTTGACACTGTGCAAAGAAGGGCAGAAGGTTTGTAATTTCTTCAAATATCCTTAGTTTAGTTATTTTTTCATATTTAAATACCAGTGAACATGTTCAATCAAAGTCATAAAAAAAAATAAACAAAATGCATTGTTAAAAACTCATTTTGATACAATGTTTGTTAAAACTTTTAATGAGGGCATGATAAAGTTTGGTAAATAAGTAACAAATGGGTTTAAATGAAATGAGAAATTATAATAAATGGTCACAATTTGTTCAATTGCATTTATTGTTAGATAAGTAGATGTAGGGTTATAGAATTTGTCTTTGTCATTGCTTCTTGCATAATTTTAAGAAGAAAACTTGCATACATCTGTCTAAATAGGTTGAAAAATTTAGTAAAACTACTTGTAATGGTAGATAATAAAAGAAAAGGCAGTTTACTAACAATTTGCTTCTAATACCTCATATTTTCTTACCTTAACACAAGTATATGATTTAATTTTAATGTCTGATGTTTTAACAGATAAAGTGTGAGCAGTACTGGCCTGATGAAGTTGGCGAACCAAAGCAATATGGTGATGTTATTGTTGAAATAACTTCCTACTCTAATATCCGTACATACGATTACAGAATGTTCAGAATTACAAATGTAAGTAAAAGAAAAATTAGAATTCATATATGTAGAAAAACAAATGTGATGGTTCTTACAATTTGATTATCCCCAGGTATTTTAAGCAATCAGGTCCTATTCTTGAACTTGGGCCTTCTTTGTCGAGCAGTTAGGGACACTAACATCAAAATACCTGCACCTCATAGCTGTGGGGTTAAGCCCTGCCTTGAAGACCTTTGAATACCTTAATATGGGAAAAAATTGAATATTATTATATGAGAAAGCTATCGCTTTAGATTCCTGAATGTTAGCAGTTTTTGCTAGGTGGCCACTTATGCCTGGGAGAAACCAGGTAAAGCTGGAAGACAGTTTCTACAGTCTTTATTTGAAATTTTCATAAATTTTCTTGTCTTGCTTACATAAAATAATTATTATCATTGTCATCATTATAGATAGGAAGCTGTTTGATTTTAGCAAAGAACTGAGTGTATGTATATTGTCATCTATATGTTACTGTTGTTTTATAGGGCAGCACAACACGTGTTGTGAAACACTTCCATTTCCTGAGCTGGCTAGATTTCCAGGCCAACGTTCATCATGACATTATTCTAGACTTCATTCAGCATGTTCGGCAACATGTCCAACCACCTGATACTTCAGGACCTATGATTATACATTGCAGGTAGGACTGTTTGAGGACAATGCCAAAAAATTTGATTGTCCCTATTGCCCAGGTTGTCACACTGTCTGTATATACAAGAAATAATTTTTACAGAATTTACATGATAAATATCATAAAGAAAAGTAAAGAATGCTATAGAAAATACCCACAAGTTAGTAAAAATTAGACTTTGCCAAGTGCACATGTCAGGTAGTGCTAATTTAGGTCAGGACCTGTAATAATACACTACTGGTAGAACTGGTCAAACCTATGATCAGAACCTAAGATAATACACTGTTGTCAGGTCAGAATTTAAGATAAAGCACTGCTCGAATAATAGAGCTTTGCAGAGAGAACTTACTCGAGTTAAGAACCTCTATTTGAAATAAAATTCAGTGCATTTTAGACAGTTAAGTGAAGACCAATAATGAAAATGCATTATTCTTGAGAGTTAAGTTTGATGTGAAGGAACAAAATTATGATAAGGTTTATGTAAAGTTTTAAGTAATACAGAATAACTATGTAAGTCATCCACAAGAAAATATCAGTTGACCAAGATAAAGTTTTGAAACTAACTTCATTTTGTTTATATCTGTATTATTTCAGTGCTGGTGTTGGGCGTACTGGTACATACATTGTTTATATCTGTATTATTTCAGTGCTGGTGTTGGGCGTACTGGTACATACATTGCATTAGATCATCTGATGCAGTTTATAAACGAGCATGACTTTGATGTGGAGATAGATATATTTGATCTTGTTCTCAAACTGAGGGAGAACAGACAACACATGGTGCAAACAGAGGTAGGTGGTCTATAATTTGTAGATGTCTCAAGAAAGAATGATAGATTTATGGCTCCAGTAAAGATTCAGGCTAGCCTATACCCATATGCAGTCTGTTCACTGCTTCTTGTGCATGATTAAGCTATTTTGACTCAAAAATTGGAGGGATGGCTCTAGATATGTTCAAAACAAAACAGGCTAAGCTTGAAGAATAAATTATTGTCCACTTGAAAAGTTGGAATATTGGTTTGACTGACTCTAATAAAAAATAAATGGAAAAACTATTTGTAGTATGGTTGTTTTGTATAAAACTTTTAACATTTTGAAATATTGAAATACTGTATGTGATGTTAAAAGAGAATAGAAAAAAACATAGATTTACATTTTCTGACATCAACGCACAAATCACCTCCCATTTTTTTACAGCAACAATACGTATTTATCCATGACTGTGTGAAGGAGATTATGGAACGCAAGAGAAGACAGATGGAGAATATTTATGAAAACCAAGGATTCTGTGAGTATAGAACTTCTTTATGAATATACTATGTGATATTTTCTTTGTTTGGTAGTACAGATGCTTTAAGAAAAATTTTGTAGGGAAAGTGTTGCCATTCATCAATTTGATTCTAGATATTCAGATAATTTTTTAATCAGAACTTCTCCTCTTAAAAAACGACTGGATTAAATAATTAAGTCCTTTTAAATGCCAAGATGTTTGCTATAAAGATTTGTTTCTAGAAATACATAGATATAAAAGACATAGATATAAAAGGTAGGTGTGTGCATATCAGTGTTAATATCAATGATTAAAATTTAACAGGGAATAAATTCAATGGTAAAAGCTTAATCAAGTATTGAAATGCTTGTTGTTTAATTGCCAGATATTTTAAATCCTGTTTTATGAAGTTTCACTTGTGTGTACATATTGGAAAAAGTGGTGGTAATTCAATGGCCACTTGGTCATTATCAAACATTTTTTGGACTGTGAAATTTTTGGACTTTGCAGATAAGATTTTATGTTATTATGAAATAAATAGGAATGATAAGTTCAGAGTTATGGGGATTTGTTTCCACTAAGACATCATTAAATCTGGCAGTTAAATATTATTGTAGTAGAATGCTATTCTTGACGGTACTGGATGAATCCTTCAGGCACATTTCTGCTATTAAGATAAGATTTCTTTTGAATGAAAAGCTGAAAAATATATCAATCTGTTCCATTACTGTTAACCCATATTCTGCTGGACCCGAACCTGATTAATAATATCTGTCATATTTTGCGGTTCGGATCGGAATATCCGTCCCGAGGTGACCCACCCATTGGGCGGTAACGAGGCTTGCCGAGTTACCGCCCATGGGCGGGTGACCGAGGGACGGATATTCCGATCCGAACCGCAAACATATGTCAGATATTTTTTCTTGCATATTCTACCATATTCCATTATATTTTAAATTCTTTATCTTCATTTTCAATGAAAATTTATATCATTACAACCGTAACTACTTTCATTCAACAGCGAATGAATTACAAAATCATTCATAACGGTAAAATGACGTCATCTTTATCGTGCCATTGTACAGCACGCGACTCATCTGGAACCCCCCATGCCAGATGAAATTTCCGGCATGGGTAAAACTAACGGAAATGCCAGTCTGATATGCAAGAATAACCATTGCCACTAGTATGAAGCAAGGAAAGACTGCATAAATAAGACCCAGCCAGCCTGCATAGCTCAATCGGTCAGAACACCAGAAATGTAATCTCAACATTGTGCGTTCAATTCCCAGGCTGACAAACTAAAATTACTAATCTGTCCTTAGGATGAGACTTTAAATCAAGGTCCCGTGTATAAGTGCTTAAGCACTTGGCCCGTTAAAGAACCAGAAGAAGCTTCTGGAGGTAGGGCATTTGTCTCTGTCTGTATCTTGCACTATCCTCCAAAATCTAAAATGACTAATACTCTTCTGGAGGACTCGTCCATTTGGGAAACTGATGGGGAGTATAAATAAACTCAAATACACACACAGATGAGGCAAGTCTGCATATCCTTGCCGTCTAAACGGGCTCTTTAATGTTGGTTTACCTTGTTTAATCCTTAAACTTTACAATGAACAATTGGAATTCAGCAGGGTAAGGGTTATGTAACTTCTGTCTGCTCATACAATCAAAATTCCTTTGTTACATGTACATTTACTCTTTTTGTGTATGATTTCCTGATCATATATACATGTTAAGATATTTCAATGGAAGAGAACCTACTTTCACAACATTATTTGCTGAATACAGTACTTGTTATTCTACATCTGCTATTATTTCTCTTATGATAAATGGCATGATTTCTTGAATGTGCTATAAGTATGAAAAAACTATCCTTACATTAAGTTTGAAAAAACTATCCTTACATTTTCTTTCAACATATTCTCTCAGAATGACTCTGTATCAAAATAAAAACTTTTTTGCGATCATAGGACAAATTAGTAACTGAGACTTTTGAATTTTCACTGCAATTATTTTGATTCAATTTGTAAAGTATGTTTGAATTATCATTAAAAAATGATTATTTTCATGAATATACTACCAATAAAATTGTAAATACTAAGAAAAATGTATATAAAAAATATTAAATTAATGTTATCTTTGTAAAATAACTGTAAATTAAAAATTTTAAACTTACAATTGAATGTTTTCAGCTCAAGATGAGAATATCTACCAAAACGAGCAAAGTCTGTACGCAAATGTGTCCATCTCAAAGGCTGAGCAGAATACAGAACTATAATGTGAACCCTGCTGTAGAGAATCCTGAAAATTGGAACAGTTGGAGAACATCAGCTGTAGATACACATTTTATCTTTATCAAGGCTTCCTTGACATTCATTTGCACCAAAAAAAAAATTATTGGGTATAAAAATAGAAATTAGACATTTGAACTTTTCCAAATAAAAGAAAATATACTAAATGATGTGCGAGTCAATTGTTGTAAAGTTTTGAGAAAACTTTATTTCAGAAATATTTGTAAGAATAAAAACAAAACTATTAAAACACCAGAAAATGAAGAAAAAATACAGAAAAAGGTAAAAACTTTGTATCAGAAAATTTTATAAAATATATAAGATTGAAAAATGCTTTGAATATAGCTTGAAAAAAAAAGGAAATTTTTATGCAAGCTTTCTAACACATCATGCTTACACTGTGTAACTGAAGTTTTTAGCATAAAAGTTTGTTGTTGTTTTTATTGATTCTACAGCGAAACTCACAGCTATGCAAATAAATGGCTTAAACATGAACCTCTATTTTATATTTATCTTCAAGTTATGTCTGTTATCATTTGTATATTTTGGTTGATTATACTATGAAATGTTGTACATTTTATTGACCAGAGGTATTTTTAATTTTATAATGAAAGACATTCCATTTTCACACCTTTTTTTGCTATATTTTTGCTATATTGAAATAATGTTATTCATATGCAAATTTAATGTTTCTGCCAAAGGTTTACACTTACTACTTCTTACATACCAAAATTTAAGACTTACTCAATAATTTTTAAAAAAGTAACATTGGTTGATTTTTTTTATTTATTTGAATCTGGCCAATGGGATGGTAACTTAAAGTGACTGGTTACAAATTACAGTCTTACAACATTAAGACCAGTCAAGCTTATTTTCAGATATTCACGAAACACTTTTTTTCTTGCAAAGATTAAAGTACCTGTTCTGATTGTTGGTCATTTTCAACATGATTTACAAAACATTTCCAAATTTTACATTCCAGTCAAGTTCCTGTCTGTTCTTTTTGTATAAGAATGATATTTGTTTTGTTTGGGGTTTTTGTTTTGCCATGATGAAAACTTTGTCATGATTTAAGAGTAAGTTTTATTTTGTATAAAGCATGAAATCAAAGCTACTTTGCTGTAAGGGATAACAAGTGTTTTATTTAATCATGACAATTTACACAAATCAATATTCCAGAAAAAAAGAGTTAAAATCCAAATCTTGATACTCTCTGTATATGTTTGTTTACTTGTTTTTTCAACCATGACCAAAAGCATAATAATATCATTTGTGTCTCTTTATTTCATCATTTTTTATATATATTTTTTTGAAATTTGCCTGAATTTTGTAATCATTATGTTGGAATTAAATTTTTACTCTTTTCTAAACAGGAATAATAATGTTTATCAGACTAGGATACTTTTTTTGTACTTTCTAATCTGGCGCCATACTGGTGGCTGATAAAATTTGTATAAATTTTATACTGAAATCCCCCAACGTCACAATGAACAGTGTTCTAAATTCAAAGTAGGACAAGCCCAATATAATTATTCTGCTAGGGTATATGTTTCAGTTGTATAATTTCAGTGACTGACTTATGCCACTTGTGGCAGAAATGACACCATAAATGACTGGCATGAATGACTGGTTACTGCCAAACATATGATATTAGGCTTTATAATACTAGGGAAATTTAGTATATGTTAAAATTTCCAAGATTTATGCTGCATAGTTCAGAATTTAAGATTTTGCTTGTCTAATGCACAAATTCAGCATTTAAATTTGTCAAATTAGGTTGATTTCATTTTATTGTGTATTTATAAGTGTGAAATAGCATTTAATATATTACATGATTGTAAGAATTATTTAAAACAGGAGTTGTGATCAGAGATATATATATATACCTAGAACACATATTTATAATTATAGTGATTATATTATAGGACAAAAATTTATGTTTAGTTTTAGTTGGATGAATTATATATTGTATATGTAGATATATAAAAAACAATAAGATTCTGTTTAAAGTATAAATAGTATAAAAAAATTACAATTAAAGCTGTTTGAAATTAATGTTTTGACTCAAAATCATAAATGTTTGTGCTTGATATAAGTATAAAAAAAAATGAAAAAAATGATTTTTAAAAAAACATAAATTTCCATAATGATTCAAAATTAGGTGAAAAAGGTGACCAAATAAATTATTATTCCCACCTGCAAGAAAATTAGAGGTTGCCTCCTAGGTATGTCAGTCAATAGACCAGACCTTGTCCTATCAGTAACTAAAAAACACTCTGACATACATTTCTCACATTTAAAGTGGCCTTCAGCTTTTATATTCTGTTGGAAAAACAAAACAAAGTACATGTTCTTTCAAACTAAGTATTTCATTAATCTTATCTTGGAAGAGTGCATCATATCACTGTTGAAGCCCATTAACCATTTTGAAAACCAGGGTTCCGAGCTACATGTATTTATAACACATACGTGACATTTGTTTCTAAATATAGAAGATGGGGAAACTAATCTTCCGCTTTACTAATTTAGATATGGAGCAGATCAGTAGTTTAGAGATATCAAGGGCTTCCTTTATTGTTTTTGAATTTTATCATCCCCAATTTTCATTTTCCACCTAAAGTCTTTTCATTTTACAATTATGTGAAAGTTACAATTGATCTGAAAATAACATATTTGACCTTTATAAAAGCTTAAGGCCACTTTAATCGGGACTTAGGGAGTTTGGATTTGACATGAATTTTGAGGATAATATGTCAAGGTCACATTTACTTCTTTCATAACAGCTGATTTTCAGATTTGGTACCATTGTTGGTAGCATTACTTTTATAATACTTTTATAATAAGCTGCTACTGGGGGTGCATTTATATGCTTCAGAAACATCTCCTGTTAAAGATAAGCTTGACTGTGTATCAAGGGATTGAGGTTGTAAAATTATATAAATATTATGCTAGAAAAATAATGTCTTCCATTATTCGAATAAACATGTATATATATATATATATAGTTTTTTATATTTTTTTATTGTTAATGAATTTTTCATTGTTATATGTCATATAGATATAATCAGAAGTAATTATGAGCATACAATGTAAATAAGTAGATATATATGAGCCGCGCCATGACAAAACCAACATAATGGGTGTGCGACCAGCATGGATCCAGACCAGGCTGCGCATCCATGCTGTTTGCTTACAGACCTATAGCGAGTAAAGAAACTGATATGGAACAGCACTATAACGAGTAAAGAAACTGATATGGAACAGCATTGATCCTGATCAGACTGCGCAGATGCGCAGGCTGGTCTTGATCCATGCTGGTCGCAAACCCATTATGTTGATTTTGTTGTGATGCGGCTCATATGTATATATAAATGTTGTTTGACGTTCCAAAGATTTATTGTGTTACATATTATATTGTTGGTTTTTTTTTCTGCTTTGTAAAGCACAGCTGATTATATGGTCGTCTTCATAAATTTTATTATGCTATTGTACCATTATACTCTGTAAAAATTATCTGCTGATTTTTGTCTGTCCATTTATTCTTTTTTTTTCAACTCGTTTGAAACTTGCTGATTTTTTGTTATTATATTTTTTCTACTTTTTTTTTTATAAAGATTATGCACTTTTTTTATCTCTGTTAGTGTTAACTAACTGATCTTGTTGAAATGTTTATGTTATTATTGTTGTTGTTTATTTACTTGCATATAAAATCATGACAATTAAGTTCAGTTGTATAGTAAGGAAAATTAGGGTAGATATAAAGGGTAGAGACAAGATTCCCTCAAGCAGTTCAAATTTAAATTAAGAATATAACTATTTTATTTTAGTACATTTTATTGCATGGCTAAACTGGAAAAAAAGTAAATACATGTATGTATTTTCAATTAGAGCTTCAGTGATGCAACTGACAGTATGTGGTTCCTGGCTTTAAACATTTTGTTTTGCTATTGTACTGTATGTACCTACTGAAGAAATAATTTTTTGAATTTTTTTAATGAGAACAGAAGACCTTTTATGATCTTACTTAACCAAAAATTAACAGATATTACTGCTACATTTGCTAGATATTTTTCGAATTTTGATTGTTTGATTTTTAAATTTAAAATCATTTTAGTTGACATGAGTTTATAACAAGCTAAGAATTAACTCAGACCGGGCCCTATACTGTTGGCTGACTGGCTTCAGATTTTCATCTGAATATACCGGGTATATTATACCCTCAAATTGATAAGTCTGTTTACGAAATTCAGCAGGTTAAGGAATAAAGTGTTATCAAGTTGTATCAAATGTCCAATTATTGCAATAGTAAATATTGTAGTTAGAATAGATAGTGTAATTTATAAACAAATTATGTCATATATAATTTTGATACTGTCTGAAGTGCCTTACTGTATTTGTTTGTGAAAAAGGAAACGTAATGTCATTTTTCTGATGATGGTCATGTCTTATTTCATGGTTTTGTTGTCTTAAAGCTCAGTTCTGATGGACTGTTTTTGAATTTTTAAGTAAAAAGATTTAAATTTCATGATCAATCTACTTTCCAGTGAATTTAAAGTACATTGTATATAAAAATCATCATTTTAAACTGTAAAAGCTGCTCATTGACATGTTAAGAGACTGATGTTATATCTTTGGTTTAATAAGATTTGTGATGCCTACATTGCACAGTGGTTAAAATTTCTGACTTGGAATAATATGTCCCTTACTGCTGTGGGTTTGAATTAAGCTAGGAACTTGGGACTTTTACCTACATGGAAGCCATGGAAGTAGCATTCTAAGGTTCAGTGATTTTACTCAAGGGCCAGTTTGTGCCAGAAATAATGAACCAAGGAGCACCTGAGGTCTTCTTACAGTGAAAGCTTGAAAAGGGCCATGTGACCTTAACAGTGTCAGAGCTATCCAGCTAAAAATTAGATTCATCTAAAAAAATAATAAAATATTATTACACTGCAACACCCTTGTTTATAAATCCTTAACATGCCATTAATGTAAAGACTGAATGTTATATCTGGCTATAAGAGTTTGGATCCTACATCACAAAAATTCTGTGGAAACCTTATTGTGGGTGAAAGTAAGAATATGACTATTACTAGATTAAGATCAGTAGTTAATGAGTGCAGTGTCGATGTACTGAGATGAGAAATATGAACTTAGGAGCACCTTTGTCAAGTCAAGTGCATCTGAACAAAAATCACATAATTCAGTATGTAAGAAAAACAAACCTTTTTGTAACATAATTGTTCCAAAGAAAATTCTAAAATTTTGAGAAAATTAAAAAGTGTCTTTGAATTAGTGAGTGAGCAGTTTTTGAAAGGTTTAAATAAACTTTTTTTGCAGACCGCTGCATGAAACAAGTGCCATTGTATCAATGAATTCCGTCTTGCAGCTTTAAGCTTTTTTTTTATCTCCCATAAATGTTGAAAGTGTGATATTATGAAAGCATATAAGTCAGTGTTTTTTCTTTATGTAAATGTAGTATGTTAATCGAGAGTTTAAACTGAGTCTAGTACTCATGTCCTGTATACTGATCTATTTATAGCAAATTTTAAGGCCTTTGTATAAAAAAGGGCTGCAACTCTTCCTTAGGGCTCAAATGATATCTGCCCTTGATTTTATTTTGTTTTCAGGGATTATTTTTGTCAACAACAGTATATTGTCTAATGCCTTTTGTATCTTACACAACTGTTGTACATGATTTGTTTGAAGAAGTTGGCAAATTTATTACTTTTCTAGGTATTTTTAAAGAAAATTAGAGAAAAAAACTGATGTGGTATTTATGTGTGGTTATTTTAAAAATGAGTTACTACATGTATTTATAATAAAGTCAAAGGAATGACAATCTTTTTTCAAGTCTGAAGTGAAATGTGCTAGTATAGGATTTATGCCAAATTTTTTTGGTTTATTTTTTTTTTATATATTTTCGTCTTGGTAATTTTACCATATAATCATAATTAACTTGATTTCTGTAAAAATATGCCAGATCAAAAGAATGAGTTTCAATACATATAATTACTTATAGTTATATACATGTATATTAATTGTAGAGGTAGTTGAGCTTTACAAACTATTCTAAATGTAGTTTTGAAACTGATATTGAAATATCAGGGTAAGATTTCTGCCGAATGGAAATACCAGGGTTTCAGATAGCAGCATGGCATATGTTTATTGTTGCATAGACTTCTAACAGAGTAATCTCCCTTTATTTAATGTTTTGATATCATTGTTATCGCCCTTTTTCTATGTGTTTATTTTTCAATTTACTTTTTATGTGTAGGTACTTCCCCTTAATTTTTTCAAAGTCACTGATTTTTATATATAGATAATAACCTTATTATCTTTTTTTCAGAAAATTAATTCTAATTATAATAAATGTGCTATATAGAAGAAATTAGACTTAATTACAAAGTGATTCTTTCAGTTATTGTGTATGAATGATATAATTATTAGATACATATTTGATTTTTTTTTTGTCTGTTCCTTGTGCTATAAATTTTATGTGCTATTAGCTGTCTTTCATGACGGGTACATAAATGAGTTTAAAAGTATTTGTTGAAAGCAATAGTGATACTAATAGTAATGTATGTATACCACTAATGCACCAATCAATTGTATCCACAGCATTTACATGTGGGTTGAGGGGACATAAGCCAAGTTTTAACCTTTCGACTGTTGTGCACACAAAATGGTGATAAGGTTTTAGTCCCAGGATAGCCAGAAATATGTCCAAATTGCAGTGCCTCTGAGCTCTCTTTTATTGGGGATTTTACCATATAACTGTTTCTGAAGTGTAGGGCTGTTACCAGGGATTTGAGAATCCAGAAGTTGAGGTCCTCGCTATTTCCCCCAGGCTGCTTTACCCTGGGGCTGCATTTCCCTGGGGCTGCAGTGGCAATGGTAACATTTGACTGGTGCATTTGATAGTATAACTGTATAGTTTATGATATATTTGGATAATCTGTTGAAATATTTGTTATTGACTTCACTGCTGTGTAATAGAGTTTAATATTTACTTATTTTTGATACTCATATACTATAATATTATGTATATTAATCAGAGCACAAATGTATAAAATAGATTTTATTTTTATATATATACTGATGGCTGTGTTGCTAAAGTAAGTTTTGTTAATCTTTACTTTCAAACTTGAAAAGAGATGAATTATATATATGACTTGCAGAGTGTATAACAAATGAATATAATATATAAAAATGTGATTACCAATTAGGAGCAAATAATGGTAAAAAAAGTAAATGGCCAGATTAGTGGGTCAAACAAAACATAACATGATGTTAGAAAAGTGATTTGGACTTTGAAAAATATCTTATTATCTTTAAAAAAAATCTGTAATCTTAATTGAATAAGTCATAAGTGATTTCATTTATAATATCAAAATGATCTCTATTGTTTTTACCATACTTATATAATTCTACTTAAAGATCTGATACCTTTTGTTAATTAATGAAATAGTTTTTGTATGAACTATATAATTCGGTCTCAGACTGGTGAAGTATCATTGAAATTTGTACTAATATAATAATGTTTCATTATACATTTTGCTTTCTCTCTTTAACTTAAAGCTATGTTTCCATAGTGACACTTCTTGCACTAATTATTTACAGCTTTGAAAATGACCACCATTGCTCTGCACTCATTTTTTCTATATGTTAAAAGGTTTTCACTTTGTGATTAAAATGGTTCTTAAAGCTACTTACCCACATATCGTCACTTTAGTGCAGTAATAGGATAACTCCTGTTATATTTGATAGGAGTTATCATGTTACTGCACTGAGGTGACAATATGAACAGATGGAAGAAGAAAAATAAGTCGTTAAAATTACATCAAACACATATACATATGCTGCTTGCATGTTCACGAACTTAAAAACTAGATAAGGTGTGCATTTCTTGCTCCATGACATACCAGCTTATAAAAGTTTTGGCCCTTTTACTATGATTTTATACCCTTTTTTTTGG